ACCTAAATATGTTTCGTCATGAAATCAAAATGTATAAAATATTAATGTGAGATTTCAAATAGGTATGCAGAAAAGGGCATTTTAATCGTACAAGCTGTTTTCAGTAAAGAATATTTTGAGAATACAATTGTACTCTCAACTGTTCTTGTTGGAATATCAATCTTATCACGAAAATTTACTCTACGGTTAGCTAGCAGTTTTTATTTCTAGAAAATTTTGAGTTTTAAGATTATCGCATTACGTTAATTAAAACATGAGTAAATTGCCGTGGGATTAACTTACTTGACATTTTATTCAGAACACTATAAAAGTGTGTAAACATTAAGTAATTTTTATTGGATTCGGATTTTTAAAAAATTATTTCCTTCAACAATTCTTAGCAATGAGAAAAATTATAAAATAATTGAAAATAAAGATATATATATATATATATACGATTGTATTCAAATTATTTACATTACTGTCAGGAAAAAAAAAGATGAATATTTGGAAAGAAATTTTTTCGAAAAAAACAAGAACATTTTTCTCGGCAAACTTTTCAATTTCTGAATACTTTTTTTTTTTATCTGTATGTGTATACGTATATATATAGACATATATATTACAAAGATACATATAAATTGCAATGTTATATCAAAGCAAAATTTTGTCATTCATCTAATTCCATTTACTTTAATAAAATAAGATTTCAGTTTTTCTATGCATCTGTCCATACCAAAGTACGTGGATACCTAAAGTTATTATTTTTATATCCCGCTTGACCATTTATCAGTGACGTTAAAAAAGCCACTACAATTATTTTCCATACATGACCAGTGGCGGCTGCTGATCTTTTTGACAGGTGAGGCACACGCTATAACCCAAAATTATATGTTCAGCCAACCAAAATCAACGTACGTCACTTCTCGCAATTTCTTGTCTATGTGAAACTCGTTTTTCGCTCCATCATTACGCAATCTATAGCAACATATTCTCCTTGCTTTCACTCATGGGTTCTTAGAATTACCTAACCACTTTCTACTGTTGGCGTAGCAACGGGCCATTTGGTACGCTCAGTGTTCTTTGCTTGAACGCATTATCTCTTTCGTCATGCAAAGAAGTAATTGAAGATTTTAGTAGTAATTAATAATGGCTGAAGACGGTTTGAATGAGTAATGAAAAAAACGTTGTACATTTGCTGTTATGTTAAACTTATATTAAAGTTTTTCTTCATTACCCATTCAAGCCGTCTCCAGCCATTATTAGTCTCAAAGTGGGTTTCTCGTCATCGAATTAGTAGTAATTAATTAATGTTTTACTACATTTTCAAATAATATTACAAGTATAACTTAATTAAAGAAAAAAAAACATTTGATTCATATAGTTCGATCAGAGTCAGGAATATGCAAGTTATGCGTGAGGCAATGCCTCACCTGACAAGCCGCTACTGTATGAGACAGTTTTGTTTTAATTTTTAATAGCCATAAACACAAATTATGAATTAAAATAAGAGTTAGTTCAATGGGTACTGAAATTCAGATTTATCATTAAGTTTTGGATCTTCTAATTGTAAAGTATACTTTTCTTTCAAACCGTATTAAAAACATATATCAAGTTTGAATAAAACGTGTAATATTATTGGGAATCATTATAACTGTTTGAATGTTTTCACACTTTTATTGCAAGTAAGAAACTTATCTGAAATTCGCCGCAAATACCCAAGCTGTGGCATATATTCATAAACACTAGGTTTTCTAGCTTTAGCTAAGTTAACACGAGATATCGTTTACGCGGAGATTAATGAAAATTATGTAGGAAAACAGTTTCGTTTTGGGTTTACTTACTGGTTATGAGTATTTTTTTTATTACAAGCTACAGCTTTTACAGTAGGGTGGGGCATTTTTCTGATTTATTTTTTAACAGGTACGACGTTTCGATCATTGGCGCGATCATTTTCAAGTACACAGGTTTTACCGGTAAAGAAGGTTTCTGTATTATTTAAATACAGTTAAAACCTGTGTACTTAACGGTATTTAAATAATACAGAGACCTTCTTTACCGATAATACCTGTGTACTTGAGAATGATCGCGCCAATGATCGAAACGTCGTACCTGTTAAAAAATATCCTTCCTTACTGTCAAAGCTGTAACTTGTAATAAATAACATATGTGAAGAAACGTATTGGTATACAGTTTATTTCAATGAAACATTGAGAGAATGAATAATGACAAATGCTTATTCATCAAAGCAAATGTCGTTAATAAAGTAAGGAATGTACGAAAGTTCGTATACATCAGGATTTAATATATATAATTGTTGTTGAATTATGATATACTGTTGACTAATTACTATGAAGCATTGAAGCTAAGAAAAAAAAGTTTTGAAAAAAACGATAGTGTAAAAGGAGGGAGATAAAAAAAAGAGTGAATTAGTAAGCCATTTTTATCATTAGAATAGGCTTTCGCTGATTGCTTTTATTCTTGAAGTAACATCACACTTCCATAATTCCTTCTGTCCTTAGTTTTGCACATATAACAAAAGCTTCCAGTCCCCTGAAGTATAAAAGTTGCAGAACATGCTGTTTAAATCACAGAAAATATAAGCAGTATAAGGAATAGTTGAATTCCTGCGATTTAAGGACTGCTTTGCTGGAAAAGAAAAAAATGAATATAATTCGTGATTCTTTAGATTTTCTTACATTTAATGCATTATACTTTCAGCCGTAGGTTATACATACACACATAAAACAAATCAGGCAGAAATGCACAAGTTATCCATCTAACTTTTAAAGTTGGAAAGTGTAGTTGAAAAGTTAAAATTAAACTTTGGTACTAATGCACAAAAGTAATAAACAGTCTAGTTTATGCAGGTTTTTAGTGATAATGTAAGCAATAACTAAACAAATCCAAGACAAACATCCAGAATTGTATTTAGATATAATAAGAGGTTCATGTTGCTAATACTCAGAATAAACATCCCTAGACCTTTTCTATATATTTTATAAATTAATATGAAATATCATAATTTGAGAAAATAAAAATTACCAGCTTCCTATAACACACTTTCACCAATATGTTCTCAAAGTATAAATATACAAACTAAGTTAAATTAAACTAATATACTTTACACAGCTTGGGAAATAAAAATTAAAACGAAACTTAATGGATTGTTTTCTATTTATCACAGCTATCCTAAACAACGTGTTTCAGACAGAGCCTAATAACGATCTAATTAAAACAATATTATCAACAGATGTCGTTAAAATCATTATTACTTATTTATTTTTACTAAAAAAATACTAATCTCAGATCTGACTTAAAACTAACAGAATGTACCAATACGTTTGATTTAGATATATAGTCCTTTACTCGCCAGTAATAACCCCAAATGCTTTTAAAGTATTTTAGGTTATTAATGGTGAGTAGAATATAGATCTAAACCAAACAAACTGCTTACATTCCACCATTATATGAAGACTGCTTTTATTTATTTGATTCGCTCTTCCATTCAACACTGATAAGCCATGAATTCGGCAAAACTAATCTATTAAAACGGGAATAGCGAATCAAAGAATAGACTAGGCCTCTACTTCCTCTTTTTTTTCACGAAAATTCACGTTTTGGTAAAGAAAAGAAAATAATAAATAAAAGTATCTACCATTATCAGAACAAAAGGGGTGACTGTAAATAGAACAAAATAAGCAACAGTATCATAAATAAAAGTGTGTTGCTCAGTTTCTATGGCTTCATGTGACACGGGTCCTTAATCAGGAAGACTAATGTTATGAGAATCTAGAGTCAATAAAGCTCACGAACCTATAAATATGAATGAGAGAAACTTCAAATGAAGATTCATTTGTTACTTACGTCATTTCTTTCCTCAGTGTTTTCCACTTTCTTCAGTTCATTCTGAGATTTTATCTCTTTCCGCACTTTGTGACCTCTAAACGAAGCTTGGATCTTGGTCGCCGCTTTAGAAAGATCCGGATCATTTGGATCAAAGGATTGCTGATGTTCATTATTTTTTTTCTAAGAAAAACAAATTGGGAAATAATTAATAGAAGAGAAACTAAATGTAAAATGTTTGCAGAAATCATTTTCATGAACTTAGATCTACGATATATATCTATTAGTTTCTCTGAAATAAGGACACAATATACTTGTAATTTCATTTCCAATTCTAGTTAGGCGTGAAATGCGAAAATAATTTGAAATTATAATGGGGCCTAATTTTCTCGTTTACTTTAATATCGATCCAAGCAGTGAATTTTGAGCTTTTTTTTTTATATGGTGAACAGATACGACAATATGAAAGAAAATAAAGCATGCTGACTTCCAGTATTGTGACATTTACACTTAGTGATATGTTAACTATTATCATAAAATTTCAGAAAGTAAATACATACACTCAATTAATATAAGGGAAAGACTCTCTAAACCTGTGTTTCCTTAATAATATAGTGTAGACATATTTTGTCTTGTCGTTATTCTTATTTCAATAAGGCATCAGTTTAAAAATGGTAACTGTTAAAATATTAATAAACTAATGTGAAGAGGGTTTTACTTATGTGACAGCGTTTTATCATGATAGTTAATAATTTTCTTTAGACTTTCAAGAGTCTTTATAAACCCATGCTTTTGAAAATTATACTATTATCTTACTTGGGGTGAATTTCCTTTCATCCTCTTCACTTCTTTTCTAGCTTTATATCCCCGGAATGATGATTGAATCTTTGTGGCAGCTTTTTCTTCTTCTGGAGTCGAAACGTGATCGGCTTGACAAACGAAAGAAAATAAAAACGATTAGCTGGTTTTCCTTGCTGTCATCTTTATGCATCTTGGTAAAAAAAAAGAACGAGCTGATACAAACAATAATTTTTGGCTGCCACTGATTAAGCTTTGTACATTAAAGAAAAATGTCAATTTTGAATAATATCAGATTGCATTATTATTTAATTTTTAATTCATGTGTTTTGAGAGGAAAAAAAACAGAAATTGTAGTTGTTGTTTTTTTATTCTAAAAGATGTTTATATCCTAAATTTAAATTGGAAAATATTTCATGGATAGAAAATCCCCTCGTATACTCGATGTCAATGATTATAACAACTGAGAACACAAATACTTTATTTCATCAACTGAATGTACATAAAGCATACATGTATATACTAATCTTACCAGCATTCCAGGTAAAACAAGACTTGGAATTTATAAAAAGAGGGAGGAATTATATAAGAAATGTATACATAAGAATAACAGGTTTTTAAACAGATACAAGATAAAGGTGTACAAATTTGAAGTACATAAAGACTGTACAACACGAGATTCAATACTGATCTTGTAAAATACACAAATGACGAAATTCTGAGGGTATTCTGGAATAACGCATTTTCTGTTAGTATAATTTTCGAAAAGTAAATGGAAAATAACTTTTATCATTAAGAATTGGAAACAAATTGGAAGAAAATTGGAAACCAGAACACAATAAAAAACCGTCCCATGTTTTTCACCATTGCAACTCAAAAACCATAGCATATCTATTAAAAACAGTCATTTTAAACAAAGAACCCGACATAAACAAACGAAAAATCAAGGAATCCGTCTTAATTGAACAAAACAACCCTACTCTAAACCAACACCCCGGGGTGCCAAGATACTTCTTCTAAGTTTTGCAACAGTATCCGGTCATGTGA